GGGGAGGCGAGGAGGGGCCGCCCGCGGGATGCGGGCTCGGGGGCGGGAGTGGGAGTGGGCGCCCGTGGGCTCCGCCGGCTCCAGGCTGGGCTCGGACCGGGAAAGTACGTGTTGGAGGAGAGGGGAGCCGCGGGTGGAGCGGGGACACGCCGCCCTGCCACGCGTCCGTGGGGCTCAGGAACGCGTGAGTGTGTGTGTGTGTGTGCATCTGCGTGCATGCATAGGTGTGGGCATGGATGTGGGCATGGATGTGCATGTGTGCATGCATGCGTGGGTGTGTATGCGTGTGTGCACGGGTCTGTGCACAGCTACAGAGCAGGAGTGTTGCCCTGTGAGCGGCGGGGGGGTATCAGCAGGACCGGGTGCCGGTGCAGAGGACAGGCAGGAGCACAGACAGACAGACAGACAGACAGACACTGGGTGCAGGGAGGGAGCAGACCCCGGTGCAGAGCGAGGGGTGATGCTGCGAGCACAGCAACTTTCTTGCACCAAAGTGTGACGGGAGCCGGCTGGAGCCACCTGCTTCATGGGGGAGTGATTCGGGTGACCCAGGGGTTGCACATCTGGAAGCAGGGAGACCCCAGGAAGCCGCTGGGTCCATCTGCATCTCCCCCAGATGAGCCCAGACAACTGGGCGCTGCGTGGGCCCCCACGCCTGGCAGGGACAGGACGGCAGCGGGGTTGATCGATGCCTTACCACGGAGGCCACGCAAATGGCAAATCCCTTCATTGCGAAGGCTGCTGGTGGAGCTGGAGATGGCTGCGCCGCTCTACCCCGGGACTCTCTTAGAGAGTTAATGGAGTTTATTACTTTAACGTTATTTCTTCTCTCTTTCTGAAGAGCATCTTCTCAGCAGTGCTGCTTTGCGAATGAGGAGCCAGCCCCCGGCAGGGGTAGGGTGTCAGCACCGGCTTTGTTTGCCCGGCGGTGGGAAAGGAAGCCCCCAGCACCCCCCCGGCTCACCTACCAGCCTCTCCACTAACAGAGGACGAGAGGGAGAAGGTGGATAAGGGGAGGTGGCTTCTCTGAGCTGAGCTCTGAGGGACAATAGCAGCAGGATTTCATTAGCCTGCCTCTTAAGGCAGTGAAGTCTCCATCCCCTCCCACACTCCCTCCCCAGTCCGACCCTGTCTGGTGCAGGGCTGGTGGGATCTCAGCCTTCATCTGGAGCTTCCCCAAAAGCCGTAAGTCCTTCCTGGGTTGGAAAATCAGTTTTCCCTCTGGCTGTTTTACTGTCACTCCATCAGTCCCTCTGCGCGGCTGGTAGAGTTGGACCTGGGATCAATTTTGGGGGTTGGCTTTGGGGCTGTGTCCTGCTCTGCTTCAGGAGAAGGGAGAGGGGACAGCCCTGCTGGCACCCCCCTGATGGTGGAGTGAGAGGGCCAAGGCGGGCTGGGGAGCTGCCAGGGTTGTTTGTGGATGGGAAATGAGGCAAGGAGTGCTTGGGAACCCTGGAGGGAGGTTAGGGGGAGATTTTGGGTGGTTTCCCAAAGGAAAGGCTGTGGCTAGGGCAGGATGGGTGCAAGGATGCAGAGCTGCATCAGCAGCATCCTGACACCCTGACACCAATAAGGAGAGGGGCAGAGGGAGCAGGGGCAGCAGAGGGATTGGGAAAGCATCTCTCAAACCTCCCCATTTCTCTGCAGCCATGAATCCTTACGTCAACTGCTCCGGCCCCAAGTTCCCCCTGCCCCAGCAAGACTTTCTTGTGGAGCCCATCAGCCCTGATCTCTGCAACAGAACTCACTCAGAGACCTTCTTCGACCCCAAGGATGCCAACCTGACAGAGGAGCAGCTGCGGGATAAGTACTTGGGACCTCGACGGTCCAACTTCTTTGTCCCTGTCTGTGTCATCTACCTGCTGATCTTTGTGGTGGGGGCTGTGGGCAACATGCTCACCTGCATCGTCATCCTCCGGCACCGGTTCATGAGGACGCCCACCAACTACTACCTGTTCAGCCTGGCTGTGTCTGACCTGCTGGTGCTGCTGCTGGGGATGCCGCTGGAGCTGTACGACATGTGGAGCAACTACCCCTTCCTGCTGGGTGCCAGCGGCTGCTATTTCAAGACACTGCTCTTCGAGGCTGTCTGCTTTGCCTCCATCCTCAACGTCACAGCCCTGAGCGTGGAACGCTACATTGCCGTGGTGCACCCGCTCAAGGCCAAGTACGTGGTGACCAGGAACCATGCCAAGAGGGTCATCGTCACCATCTGGGTCTTGTCAGTTGTCTGCTCCATCCCCAACACCAGCCTCCATGGGCTGCAGCCTCTCTATGTGCCCGGCCGAGGATGGGTGCCTGATTCAGAGATCTGCACCCTGGTGAAGCCACGCTTGACCTACAACCTCATCATCCAGATCACCACTGTTGTCTTCTTCTTCCTGCCCATGGGGACCATCACCATCCTCTACCTGCTCATCGGCCTGCAGCTCAAGAAAGAAAAGATGCTGGAGGCCTTGGGAGCCAAGTCCAGCAGCGACCGTGACTGCCACAACCCCCGGGGGCAGAAGAAAGTCAAGAGGAGGCAGGTCACAAAGATGCTGTGTGAGTCCAATGCTGGGAAGTCGGATGCTGGGGATGGGCGGAGCCAGGGGCTATCTCCCAAGGCTGTGTTGGGAGGGTGCTGGTGGGAAACTGAGGCACGGCCAGTCCAGAGCACTGAGGCTGGGTCATCCTGGAGGAAGGCTGCAGGGCTCACTCATGGGGTGTCGGGCCAAAGGCAGATCTGGTGGCTCTGGTCCAGTGGTGGGGATTGCTCATGCCAGCTCCCTCCCAGACATGAGATCTCCCCTCCTCCAGGAAAGTGCTGGGTGAGAAAGGGAAAGGAGCTGGGATGGGATGGGGGAACCTGTCCCCTGTCCCCCAACCCAGACCTCATGTGCTATTGGTGGCGGTGGAATTTCCCAAAGATAGACCAGTTTCTACCCCGCCCTGCAACCGCTGTGACTGTCCTGGGGCAGTGATGTACTGACCCAAGGCTTGACTGGAGCATCCCTCTGTCCCACTGCTCTGCACCCTTGCCCCCCTCCCCAGCCCCAGCCCCAGCCCTGCAGCCTCTGGCCCCCTTCCTGGCAGCAGGAGCTGGTTGCCCCTGGGTAGCCATCTCTCCCCGGCACGCTGACCTCCATGTGCTCCCAGCCCCGTGACTGCACAGCGATGGCGGATTGCCCAGCCTAGTCCATTGGCAGGGCCAGGGCTGCTTCCCCGCCACATCCCAGACAAGTGGTAACTCCACTTCTCCTGGCACCAGAGCTGGGAGGGGGACAAGGGGGGACCCGTCCCTGCGTGCCACAGAGATGCAGCATGTCACAGGTATGGCAAGGCTGGGGACCCCAGGACCACCTATACATCACCCCCCTTCCTTTCCATCAGCAGAGCTGGATTATAAAAAAACCCACAAACCAGAGCACAGGGAGAGGGTGCAAATAGCTCTTACTCCTTGGACTTTGCCGGCAAAGGTGGCGGGGTGCCCAGAGCCTGGATGCCCACGGGGGCATCCCCCAGCCGTGCTGTGTGGCTGATGTGTGGCCCCCAGCCACCTGCCGATGGGGAGCAGAGACGCGTGGTGCAGCAGTACCTGGAGCAGCCCTGGCAGGAGATGGAGGGAGGAAGATCCTGTCCAGACCTCCAGCCCCTCCTTGGCAAGTCAAAAAGGCACTGGGGGGGCCCTTCCCCTCTCTCCTGTGCTTTTTTGGCCATTCTTTGCTATGGCTAAAGCCAAAATGGCAGTGCTTGGCCAGGGACTGGAGGTCCCCGAGGGGGTGAGCCCTATCCCCCCAGTAACACCAACTCCTCGGCTCCCCACAGTTGTGCTGGTGGTGGTGTTCGGGATCTGCTGGGCCCCCTTCCACACTGACCGCCTCGTCTGGAGCTTCATCTCCACCTGGACCAGCCACATGCTCCACATGTTCCAGTACGTCCACATCATCTCAGGCGTCTTCTTCTACCTGAGCTCAGCTGCCAACCCCATCCTCTACAACCTGATGTCCACCCGCTTCCGGGAGATGTTCAAGGAGGTGATGTGCCACCCTGGCCACAGCCCGCTGTGGTCACGGAAATACTCACCCAGCGTCACCCACGCCACCACCCGCAGCACCGAGTGCGAGCCCATGCCCAGTGCCAATGGGCTGCCCTTCTCCTATGCCGAGGAGTATGAGCTGGAGGAGGTGGAGGCGGGCCAGACCACCACCCACGCAACATCCCTCTGCTGAAGAGTGGGAAGATACAGGGGGACTGGGACCAGCTTTTCTCACCACCAGCATCCATCTGACCGTGGCACCCATCCCATGATGGGGAGTGGGGCAGGAGCGATGGAGGGGTCCCCACCTGTCTGTGCTGTCCTGCTGGGATGCAAAGGCTGGTTTTCTCAGCAGTGCTGCTCCAGGGACACGGTGGTGGTGGCCGTGCTGTCCCCTGGATGCATTGCACCCACTGTGTTCAGCATCAGGACTGGCCAAGGCTAGGGCATCCCTCATGGTGCGAGGATGGCTGGCTTCTATGTCAGGGATGTGCCAGCAATCCCCCAAAACATCCCATCCCTCCCGGCCCAGTAGGATGAATCCATGGGTGTGGGTGTTGAGTGTGTGAGGCACCCCAGGCTGTTTTGGGACTCCATGCTGGATGGGTGCCCTGAGAGGTGCTTGCACCCAGGCTGAGACCCACGGGGGTGGGAGAGGTTTGCACAGGATGGTGTGGGGAATAAAGGGTCTGTGGGTGCCTTCTCCCTCAAGATCTCCCCAGGGCCCTCTGGCACCAACACGCCCCTGATTTTCTTGCACTTCCCTTCGGTGGTGCCAGCCGGTGTCCGACTGCAGAATGCCGGTACAGATCCTTGCTCCCAGACTTCCTCCCACCGCAGTCCCCCCAAGAGCAAGGGAAGGAGCATGGCTGCTCCCTCCAGAGCTGGAGCCTGCAGGGGAAAATACAGGACAACACGAGCCCCAGGCTGTCTGTAGTGCCGAGGCACAGCTCTGCGCCTTCCCTGTGCCCCACAAACACACCCTACTCTCCCCCCTCCAACCCATCTGGTGCGTGCCACCCTCCTCTTCCTCAACCTGCTGTGGCCCCCTGCAGCCCTGGGGAATGCGGGAAGCCCTCCTCCATCCCTGCCCTGCATGGGCCAAGCCTCACTGAGAATTAAAAAAAGCCGTTGGACTGATTTGTGCCCCGGTTGCATCCCCCAGGACCCAGCTCTGTTCCCAGCACAGGACTGAACATGGGCCACCCTTCTGGGGGGTGATGGGCAGGCCATGTGCCAGGGTGATGGGCACCAGGGGTGTCCCACCGGCTCTGCCTGCGGGCTCTGCTGCTGCGGCGGGTCTACAGGGCTGGGAGGGCTCAGGGCACGGCATGGCAGGGAAGGCATGAACGGCATGCACACAGCCTTCTGCATCTCTGGGATGCTGAGGCCGAGCTGGGGCTGGGGCCATTGCAGAGGGGGAGCTGCCTTCGGAGCGGTGGCAATCAATCTGTCCCCAGACACACAGCTCGGTAAATGTCACGAAAATGCCAGGGAGTGTGGGCTGGCTGGTCACACTCCCCCAGGCTGGAAGGACCCATCGATTTACTGTCTGAGATTGATGCCGCTGACTTCCCGGCACACGCCAGGTCCTATCACAGGATGAAATATCGAGGCTCCAAAATGCCACCTGAGGGGCTGTCCGAGCAGCTTGAGCTCTTGCCTCGCATGACTTCCCCAGCCCCAGTTCCCTGCAGCCAGCCGGGAAGGTTCCCCTGGCTCGGCATCCCGCGGCCGTGCCCCTGGGCAGCATGGATGTGCCAGCGGGGTTCGCCTGGGCACCTGAGCAGAAATACCAGAGGAGCAAGCCCCAGGCAGAGCGCTGGCAGGAGCATCTCTGCCTGCTGCTGCTCTGCTTTCAGCCCCTCCTAAGCACATCACATGGGCCACGGCCAGGCTAGCAAACAAGAACGGGCAGGATTTGGGACTTGCAAACTCTCTCCTGCCCACATCGACCCAGTCCCTGGCTTGGGGGCAGTGTGGCCAGCTCCCCTCCCCACTCCCCATCCCCACAGCAGGGTCTGCCGTGGGCAAAGCCCTTCTTCGGCCCTTGTGGGGTGCTGCTGGTGAGGGCGGGCGTGGGGCTGCACTTCAGGGTCCTGCCGGCTGCTCGTAGCCTCTCTCCGGAGGAAGTCAGCGTGGCCAAGGGCATCAAGAACCATCTATTTCCTTCCCTCTCCAGCTCCCATCACTGATAGTCCTGGCAGGGGACAACACCCTGGCAGCCATGTGGGGTCCCTCACCACTGCTGTGCGTGTGGATGTGACTGATGCCTCCTTGAAGGCTATTATGGCACCATCTCACTTCACCTGGCCGCTTCCCTGGCCGCAAATCTCCAGGGAATGGCTTTTTAATAGACAGCCAATAGCCTTTTATTATGCAGCGACAGCCGCTTGCATGGAGCTTCTCGGTCCCTCATGCCATGAGTCAGGAGGACTTGTCCCCGTGCTTGTGAGGAGCCAGGCTGTGCAAGGGTATAGCTGTGGCCGCTCCAGCTCAAGCTCCTTGGTCAGTGCCAGAGGACAGTGTGTGCCCCCCTGAGGTTTTTTGGGGGGTGCTGGGGCTCAGTGGAGCTGAAGTGGAGTTCAGAGCAGCCAGAAAGGTGAGGCATTGGCTTTGCCTTCATCCAGCCTTGTGTCCCCAGCTGCCCTGCCATCCCCTGATCTGGGACTCCCCGTCCTCCTCGGTTACCCCAAATTCCCCTCTCTGAGATGCAGGAGGGGAATGTGCTGCTGAGGCCCCGGTGAGTTGGGCGGCGATGCTGGGGGCTGCCCCACCTCCCGCCCCCCATGCACAGCTGGGCCAGGGATCACCCTGAAAATCATCCCGAAGGCTCACCAAAGGTGCAGCTGCAGCACGGCCGGTGGCACCTCCTGGGTGGAGATGTGCAGGCAAACTTTGGTCCCCTGGCCGGGGTTTTGCGACAGCATGTGGAGACAATGCCAGGTCCCTTGGTACCCCATGCCAGCCAGGCTCAAGAGAGATGCTGCAATCAAAGGCTCCCAGGCAAGTCCTTTAACCCCATAATTAATTTTAGTAAAAGCTGCAGTCAGGGCATGAAACCTAATAAAAAAGGAACGGATCTCCTGGGAGAGAATGGTTTCACGGAGAGGGTTTTACACCTCTCCACCACTGGGAAGGCAGTGGCTGCCGGCTCCTGCCTGTCTTGGGCTCATTGCAGCCCCCAGGAAGGGAATTACAGAGCCTGTTAGCTCCAAGGATGATGCTCTCCACTGCCCTGTGCCCTCAGGGTCAGCCTTGTCCCCTGCCACCTTCCCGGTATAAATTAGAGGGGTTATTCCTGCTGGTGAGGTGGTATAGAAGCAAAGAGCCCTGGGTGGGGAAGGCAGCAGAAGACAGGGATGGGGTGAGTTGCTTCCACTGCTCCCACCCATGTAACTGGCCAGGGGGGCGACCAGGATGGCTGTGGGGGAAGGAGGATCCCAAAACACTGCCTGGGAGTTCTCACCAACTAAACGATCCTTTCAGGACCCAAGGGAGTCCAGAAGGGACAGAGCAGAGGGACATTGGGGGTCCTGGAGCTGGGGGGAGTGTGCGGATGCTGTTGCTCCAAGTCTTTGCTCAGAGCTGGGGGAAGCATCTCTCTGTCCCTGCAATACGGAGCACGCGGCCAGGTCGGGCTCCACGCCACCATCTCCTCTCCAAACATTTTGTTTCCAAAGAGCTGTTCCCCAAAAGTCGTCCATCTGTCCTCCCAGATATAAAGCAGTGTCCGTCCAACGGCCAGTTCCTGCCTAACCACCCGCTCCCAGCCCCGGGGGAACCCTCCTGCCACCCCCACACCCATTCAGCACCCCCACGGCGAGCACCCATCCCTCCTCCATCACCTCCGGCCCCGCTCCCAGGAGACTCCCTCCCTCTCACAGCAGCTCACGGAGCTGTTTTCGCCCCGCACTGCCGCACGCCCTGAGTGACACAGTATCTCTGGAGCTTCCAGTAAAAAGATTTATCATTGTGGCTTTGGGGATTAAAAAGCAATCCATCTATGAGGCTGCCCCAGCCTTGTAAGGCTTTTTTTTTTGTGCTGTGGTTGTTTGTGACAGGCATGGGGTGGGTTTTTTTCCTTTACAGAGCCAAACTCAAGTTTTACAGCGATTGCCTCATATATTTGGAGCCATGATAGATGGCTCCAGAGAATGCCAGCAGATTTTTTGCCGCCCCTCTTCAATAAGCCAAGGAAAGGGTTGTTTTTTCCTTCCTTCACACAGCCATGGTATGGGGAAAATTCATACAGCGTGAATTTGGCAAAGCCCTTGCGTGCCTGGGAGCGAGAGATCCCTGGCTGGGGCTGGGCGGTGGGGTGGATTCGGGCTGCCCGGCGATGGATGTGGCACAGCAGCCCTTCCCACTGAGATCCCAGCTTTCGTGAGGGGAGCAGGGAAGCAGGAAAATATAAATGTCAGGAAATCGCAGGGATGTGCTGGGTTTGGGCTCGGCACTGATTTAAGCTGCTTTTTGAACCACATTTAAATTATTTCTCTTACTCCAGGATACTGGTGGTGGTGAAAAGCTAACACCTAGTGCCTACAGACTGCTGATAGGCATCATAGGGTTAGGCAGGAGGACAAATGGACAGTGAGAGAAATATATGTAGGATTTGATTCTGTTCCTCAGGGACACCCATGTGCTCAGTTTTTAGCCACACACCGAAGGCAGCCCATCTTCCCACCCAGCTCCTCAGTGGCTTTCCAAAGAACCAGGGCTCATGTAGGAACCAGCTTTCCAGGCAAGCTGCGTGCTGCGGGGAGGTGAGCGGGAGGCTGGGAAGAGGCGGCGTGGGAAGCACAGCCCACCCCAAGGGCCTGGATGGAGGAGCTCAGCCACGGCTCTGGATGCTCGGGCTGACTCAGCTGCGGTGCGGTGTGACAGTCACCTGCGCTGGAGACGGTCTTCCCCACGTCACAGCAAACCCGACAGCCCTGGAGGGGCCAGGCCACGTGCAGGGAAGGGATGGGCTCCTTGTACCCCACCTCTCCCCACCTTAGAGCACACAGGGAGGTGACACAGTGGGGCTAGATCTGCAAAGGGCATCCGCAAGAAGTGAAGGTCTGTGTGTTATTTAAGGACCTCCCTGCCTGAAATCCCACCGTCCCCATGGCAGGGTGACAGAAAGGACAGAGGTGCGATGCACAGTGCCCTTCCCCACAGCCTAGCAGCAATGTACAGGGACAA